AAATCTCTGCATCTGCCTTGTATGCTGGGCAACTCAACGTAGACTTGGCACCAGATAATCCTATGCTTTCAGTTATAGGGGGAAGATTTCACGCATGTGGGATAAGAAGCTATGATCGGCAAGTTGTTTGTTGGGGTTATTTTGTCGACGGGAGTACACCGCCACCCACAGGAGTAAAACTTTACGAAATTGCCGGGGGAGATTACTTCACCTGTGGAGTTCTTGCTGAGACATCTTTGCTACCTGTTTGTTGGGGTGCTGGCTTTCCTTCTGCTCTACCATTACCAGTTGCCCCCGGAGTCTGCAAAAGCAAACCTTGTTCACCTGATTTCTATGAATTTAACAATGCAAGTTCACCTTGTAAATCTCCAGGCTCTCACATTTGCTTGCCCTGCAGCAATGGTTGTCCTAACGAAATGTACCAAATTACTGAGTGTACTTTGACATCCGATAGACGGTGTGGATATAACTGTTCAAGTTGCAAGTCAGGCGATTGCTTCTCTCACTGTTCAAACGGTGGAAAGAAGAATGAAAAATTTTGGTCACTACAATTGCCAATAGTTGTTTCAGAGATTGCCTTTGCCCTGTTCTTTGTTATCGTTGTGGTTCTGACATCAGTTTTATATGTTCGTTACAAGTTAAGCAACTGTAGGTGTTCTGTTAAATCCAAAATAGGTCATGGAAATAGCTCCTTCCTCGATGATAGTGGGAAAATTATGCCTGAATTGGATGGGATTAAGATTAGGAGAGCTCAAAAGTTTACTTATGAGCAACTAGAGATAGCTACTGATGCATTTAAGGAAGAATCATTGGTGGGAAAGGGTAGTTTTTCGCGTGTTTTTAAAGGGGTTTTGAAGGATGGCACTATGGTTGCTGTTAAAATGGCTATTATGTCTCCTGATATGCAGAAAAACTCAAAGGAGTTCCATACAGAGCTGGATTTGCTTTCAAGGTTAAATCATGCCCATCTGCTCAATTTACTCGGTTATTGTGAAGAAGGAGGACAGAGGCTTCTGGTTTATGAATTCATGGCTAATGGTTCCTTGCATCAACACCTCCATGGAAACAAGGAGCTGAAAGAGCAATTAGATTGGATAAGGAGGGTTACCATAGCAGTTCAAGCAGCTCGCGGGATTGAATATCTGCACGGTTATGCTTGTCCCCCCGTAATTCACCGAGACATAAAATCTTCAAACATTCTCATAGATGAAGAACATAATGCCCGTGTTGCGGATTTTGGTCTCTCTTTATTGGGACCTGCCAATAGTAGCTCCCCGTTGGCTGAGCTACCGGCGGGGACTCTGGGATATCTTGACCCCGAGTACTATAGACTTCACTACCTTACAACCAAATCTGATGTTTATAGTTTTGGCGTGTTGCTTTTGGAAATTATCAGTGGTCGAAAAGCCATTGACATGAAATACGAAGAAGGAAATGTTGTAGAATGGGCAGTCCCTTTGATCAAGGCTGATGACATAGAAGCGATTTTAGATCCAGTATTGAAACCACCATCCGATCTTGAAGCTCTGAAACGGATTGCAAATGTCGCGAGTAAATGTGTAAGAATGAGAGGGAAGGAGAGACCCTCAATGGACAAAGTAACGACTTCTTTGGAGCGTGCACTTGCACTGCTGATGGGCACCCCATGCAATGAGCAACCTATTTTGCCAACTGAGGTGGTTTTGGGAAGTAGCAGATTGCACAAGAAGTCTTCTCAAAGATCTGGTAATCGGTCAACCTCGGAAACTGATGGAGCAGATACTGAGGATCAAAGATTTGAATTAAGAGCTCCTTCATGGATTACTTTTCCAAGTGTTGCTTCTTCTCAGAGGAGGAAATCGTCCATCTCAGATTCAGATGCCGATGTAAAGAATTTGGAAACAAAAAATTTGGGGAATGGCATTAGTCTTGGCGATGGATTGAGAAGTTTAGATGAAGAAATTGGGCCAGCATCTCCACCAGAACTCTTATTCTTACAGCACAACTTCTAATTTACGTTTGATGTAAAGCAGGTTTAAAAGTTCTCTTTACTATCAAGAACTGTGTAGAAACGTAACTGTGATGTCGTTCTAAGGATCACTATCAGGTTATCACACGAGTCAATTGCTCGAGTCTTTCTTGCTATTCCATCTGTCATTTAAGCTTATTATTTGCTGGCATGCGTCCATTAATTCTACGACAATTATTTCGGTGACCTGGGCAGTTGTTTCTTACATGTGCTTGCTTCCCCTTATTTTTTCATATTAGTTATTAGGCTGACATTTATGGCTTTGGCATTGTGATCTTTGGAGCTTGCCATCCATTTGATAGGTATGGAACATCCTGATCCATGACAAAAGGGAGGGCTTCCTTCTGAGTTGATCAGAGACTTTCCAGAACAGACATAAGCATTAACAGTGCTCGATTTCCCCATGCCCGCCGCATCATCCATTCCCTGCATGCTTTTACTCCTGGAATGGAGCATAAATTTTTAGATATAGCAAGTCATCGAGATTTTAGAACTTTCGTTGTATTTTTCGAAATTAGACTATGATTTGGTAGAACAACTGGAAACAGTCGCATGTGATGGCCGAAGTTATATAAAGTATCAGTGCTAATATGCACACTGATTGAAGCAATCTGCCTAGTTACAGCAGGTTGATATATTCATTATTCTTTCCAATTTTCATCAGGTAATATACTACCTGCTATATTTATGTAAAACAAGGTGAGAATTTACAGTGACTTTATATGGCGTTCACATGTACGCCGTAAAGAACATATTACAGCATGCATAAGCATCTAGTTGGTGGCTCGTCTCAAACTATCAGAGGCTTACACACACCCTCTTACCTTTGTCGTTAGATACGTTTTTCTGGCTCCGTCTTTCCAACACGTTTTTGGTTTATGATAATCTTGATTGAAATCTTTTCGTTATCAGAAAAAAAAATTGCTTTTTATGTACCAACTCACCCCAAAACTATTCTATAACTTAACTGTTCGTGCATTACTAATCGGGAAACATAACTATTTCTCTTGATTGAACTCATAGGATTTATGTGTACTAATTCACCCTAAAAACTGAATTAGAGTGTTCTTATGGGGCCCTTGTCATTGATCCAGAAAAAAACATTACTATTTCTCGAGTGAACTAATGGGAAATCTTTTTGTTTTGCTGAACAGTGAGCTTCAGGTAAGAAAGAATGCGATCACAATCTATATATTAGATAGGTGGGACAAAACTGCAAGGAACAAAAAAATGGAAATTCACAGATATCAGGTTTATGTCATTTGTAAAGCTTGCTTATCAGCTAGATATATCATATATTACATGTTTTTAGAGACAAATGGTGATGGTGATGGTGATGGTGATGGTGATGCTAATATTTGAAACTGGTAAAAGGTGCATTGCAGTGACTTCCAACCGCTAGTTGACTCGCCGAACCAAAATTTATGGGGAGCAAGGCTTAGTTTACTGTTTTAGTAGTTGATTTCATTTAGAGTGGTATGCATATATTTTCTTGGACTCCAACCTTGTTAAATTAAAAATTTAAAGATCTTTAAGGACTTCTGAGATAACAACATAATGGGCTTGCTTATTGTTGTTTCCTAACTGGCTAATCTATCTGGAAGAAGTTAAAAGACAGGCTCTTCACTTCCTGTTGCGAATGGAATAATTCGATGCACATCGCAGGTCATTACACCAACGAATACCCTGCTTGAAACATTGTTCACAAGCTACTAAAAGAACGAAAACGGGAATTTTAGAGGGGTCATACAGATGAACATTCATACCTCATCTTTGGGTTCTTATTGGTAGAAAACAGTGAAATTCAACATTCTTGCAGTGCTGTTGAGGTGATGAGTTCTATCGTTTTAATATTTTGTGACAACAGCAAAGAATACAATTCCATCTCTGTATGAACTCTTAAAAAGACAGTAGCAGATTAACCTTTTCACTTGAATTTCATCAGTGTAACGAAAAACTACTCAGGACAGCCTTTGTTTTACCATGCTCTATTTCTCTTTTACTGCAGCGAATCCTTGCCAACTCTCTCATTTTATGTTTTAAGCAGAAAGCATGAAGAAAGGAATGGCTCTCTAACATATATTTTCGTTCAAAGCTGTACTTGTGGATGGTTGCCAAGGACCCAATATGACCACTTAGGTCAACGTTGCAATCCTCTATTCATTTATTCTTGGAATTGTGTCTTGCTTGTATGATGACCTTGATTCGCTACTTGTGCAATGCATAGTTAATTTTCAGTGTCATGAAGTATTTCATTTTTGTCACTTCTGACTGTCAAGTCAACGTTTGTATACAACTCGTAAAAACGGAACAAGCGTGTTTGAGATATATATACTGAGTTGTTACTTGAACAATGTCTTCTTACTGAAGAACTCAGAGAAGGTGAATTATCCTATGGGATGTTAATGGAGTCCTGAAGCCAGTTTCTTCACAGGTTCTGCATTTTTATACTTACAAACTTGTTCTTTAGCATGTTTGGCACTGCTAATTATGAGTTAAAACAGCAGCTTATTTTAAGGGGTTATACTGCTGAAAATATGTCGAAAAACCACAGAAAGGAGCTGTTTCTTTCTGTCTTCTAAGAAAGCCAAACGAGCTCATAGTTTGAGCTAGACGCCATCTTATCCCCAGATTCTTGATTGTATTGTAATCCTGGAAATTGTAGCCTACTGTCAAAAGTAACCCACTTGTACAAGTGAACGTAGCTCTGATTCGCTCGTTCAAAAGCGAGCACTCTTACCTCTGCATGCATCATTGATACTAGACCAAATGACATGCTAACGTGATCCATCTGACTTCTGCCATAGCAGACAAGTTCGAAAGCTATGCTTGCAATTTCCGCAAAGACAACCCCTTTTTTCAGACAATTAGCCCACAATCCCACTCTCTTATTCACATTAGTGGTTAGACTCGCATACACTTTTCATTATTTTAGTATTAACAAACAAACAGAATCCAATGCACTAATTAATAATTGCAAACTATCTTGATAATATTACCTGAAGAGCATTATATACAAAATTCAAGACCCAGAAGTAAACATATGGATAACAGTGAAAAGTTCACCTTAATATTACAATATCCAACAAAATCATTCTAATTTTCTACGAAAAAGCCAAAATCTCGTTCCCTTCAAGACAGTCTCGTGTTCAATGTCTGCCTAGGAAACCCCAAACCTAGAGAGACTACAAACAAATAATGGAGAGGGTAAAAAAAGCCAAGGAAATTAGGGCAGAATTTGAGTAGTAAATTCTAGTTGAGTCACCCATTGCCAAACCTGCCAACCATGATCCATCTGCAAGCATAGCTTGAGATCTTGACCCCTGTTCTGAACCCGAATCCGCTTCCGTCACCCCCAATCCGGTTCCTGATTCGGATCCATCCGGGCCAGTTGTACCTGTCCCAGATATAGATCCATCAGTTGTTGTCACTGGTGCTGTCGTTGTCGGTGTTGGATCTTTTGAAGATTTTTGACTGAAACAAGAAAAAAATGTATACCCGTTAATACTAAACCCAAGAAGAAATTAAAAAAGTAAATGAGAAATGAAAAATAAAAATGAGATTTTTGTTTTACCTTGGCATGGATGGGCAAAAAGTTACGGTATAATCAGCACCAGCGCAAGTGAAAGTGCTGGTAGGATCATCATAAGCATAGCTATAGGATCTGGGGCAAGCAGATTTGAACATTTGAGCATAAACCGACGGCTTGCAGGCGGCGGGTGAGTTAAACGCGCCGCTGCAGCAATACTCCGGACTACCAAAGGCTTCACACGCACTTTTACAAGCTTCCCCTCCACCCACTCGCAGCTCACTTGGGCAGACACGGTTCAGATCCGTGACGCAACCCGTCGAAGCACACAAACCCGAGCCGCCTGAGGGCTCAACGATCATGGGCAAGTTGTACCCATCAACTAAGCTGACGTCATAAAAGTCCTGCCCGCCGGTGCCGAGGGTGAACTCTGCTAGAGTGGCTGGCGGGGATGCACCGGCGCCATTGCATCCCACCTGACCCGACCCACAGTCCGCAGTAGTGCAAGAACCTGATCCGGATCCGTCGAACGTGCAGCCGGTTCTGCCCCACATCCGACCCGACCATCCCGTAGGGACATTGAAGGTCTGGGAAGAGTCCTGGGAGAGCTCGAATCCTGTGCTGTCCAGACTAGGACTACCGGCATTTGCCAGTATCCCCGGCCATACTATGTACTCACATTTGTTCACAAATGTAAATGTAGCCCCCAATGCACCTGCCAAACAAAAAAGAAAACAAAAATCAAAAACTCATTTAAAAAATCACATCTTTCTTCCAAAAAAAGGACCAGTAAAAATTGCATCTTCAAGAGAAAAATGAAAGACAAACCTCCAAAGAAGAGGATAAAGGAAACACAGAGACTCAGAATATGAAATGAAGAAGAAATAGAGAAGAGATCCATATAGAATATGCTGCTAGCTATCTCTTTCTATTAGTTCCTTCTTCTCCTTCTTCTTTAAGCTGAAGGAAATGCTGGAAAAGGTGAAAAAAAAAATAACGGCAGAGATGTCCGGGTTTATGCAAAATAATGGTGGCTTTTGTTTCGTATTCAGAGGTCAGAAGGGTACACTGCAAAGTTGGCAATGGTGATTAGGGCAGCAGTGGAGAAGAGGACGAGAGGGTGGTTGAAACTGGTCTTTGCTGCTGCATTGTGGATTTGCAGTAGATTCCAATACTAATTAACAATAACATAACGAGATTTTTAATGTTTTATTGGTTATTATATTGGCAAAGCAATACCTTTTTTTTTAATATATATATTTTTTATGCTGAGTATGGAGTATGGGCATAACATCTCATTAAAAATAGTACAATAGTATCATTAAAAAATTAAAACAAAACAATTTTCACCAGCGCATTTGTAAAGAATGGGCTGCCGAAATTCTTGAGCCCATTGATAATCTGCAATGTAATGTGTGATTCGGCCCAATGATTTGAACACCTTTTAACTGAAGGTTCCAGATTTAACAAAGTCTTGTTTTTTTGGAAATGCAATTTTAACTCAAAACGCGTCCTATATTGGATCTCTTACACCTGGCATAATCGTGACCGTTGGATTGGTCTCTGGGACGCGTATCATATAATTAGGGTTTGAGAGACCTTTTGCCTTACCCTAATCTCTCTTTCGACTGCAGTTTTCTTCTTCATTCTCTTCATCTACTGGATGAGTTTCTTTGTGATTTCTGAGTGAAATCTTGTAATAAAACAATAGAAGTGATGAGATTCATCTATTAGTGAGATTCGTGTATAATTTCTGAGAGCCTCTTGTGATTCAAAAATCGGCAGAACACTCTCATATTTTGTAACTTGTTTTTGCCCATTTTGGAAACTGTGATAGTGGATTCGAGCTTAATTCGTATGGATGCTCAACGGGAATGTAGGCGTTAGTTGGTCGCCGAACCTCAGAACCTTTTGGCCAAAAATTCCTTCGTGTTTCTTTATTTTCTGCACTTTTATATTCTGTATTTTACTGTAAAATACTCGATTCATAAAGGGGTTCGTAACACTGGGAACTACAATATTGATTCATAACCAATAATTTTACTTTAATTTCGTAGTAATTGAAAATTGATAATTAGAGGTGCCCCGTGACCATAAATCTTACAAAAAAATAAGATCGGAGGAAAAAATGACAAAATTATAAGCATATAGCAATTATTTATGTTTACATTATCCAATTATTGTTAATATCTTCCTCTTGGCGTGTTTAATTACAATGAAAAACATAGACAAATAAGCACAAAGCAAAATAAATACGTCGTAATATGTGCTTAATTAACGACAAAAGGTGGTGTGGGAGTGGCCAAAGTGAAAGTTTGGCACTCTTTAAAATTTTAAATTATTTATGTAGTATCATTTTTCATCATATATTCACACACAAAAAATATTTTACATAAAAACTAATAATTTTTTTATTTTTATTTTAACCACATATTTTTTGAAAATTATGATTCAAGACTCTTTAACTTTTCCAATAATGGAAACAAAACGTGGCGAAATGGCCCCCAACAGTTTTTCTTTTGCTGACAATATAATGTTGGATGAATTTTGTGAATAGTGACGCTGAAATAAGTATAATGATGGTGACAAAGCCGAGGCAAGAGTTGGACTCTTTGTCCTTAAGTCGAATTTGCCCCGCAACGGTGCCTACGGATTTCGGCAATCGACTCCCAAGATACAACGGCTACACTTGTGTTTGTAGCACTCCAAAACACAAGTACAACGAACCAATTTAGGCTTATGTACTCCAAGGATGAAATGAAAGAAAATCAAAATAAACGAAATGATTTTGATTTTGGATAGAAGAGAGGATGAAATCGTTTTGCATATCAAACTGTGAGGAATAGGACACCCAAAGGGTCCTATTTATAGACCATGAAGGGGTGTGGACGAAATGGTTGAGACCAAACCATGCACCATTTCCAAACAATGCATATTTATGAAAAGGTGTCTATTCACTAATGGTTGAGGTCTTTTTCGTAATTTCTCATTCATCCGATATTGGTTTTCGAAATGCCAAATATACCCTTCAATACATGCAGAGAAATCAAAATTCTCTTTCGGGGGCGTTGCCCCCGACCCCCCACGAGGGGCGCTGCCCCCTCGACCCTCGCGACCTGACCGGGCAGGTCGATCCCCGTTTGTGCGCCCCGAAGCGGCGAAGTGGCAAACAATTTTGCCTAAACGGATTGAGTCGAGCTTTTGAGTATTTGGCCGAATTCGATACGAACTTTAATCGATTTTCAATTTTCAATTTATTTTACCAATATCCAACATATAAATGGTGCTTTACATCTTCAAATTGCTTGTGTTTGTCTTCTTTGTGGGGCCAGAGAAGAAACGAAATAAGAGGGATGCATTTGTTGCCAAATTTAACTCAACATCTCACCATACAATTAGACGATGGTCGTGTTTTTCATTCTTTTCAAGAAAATTGCATTTTCTATACTTCATAATACGAAGTGCAAGCTTAGTAAAAAATAGAGTGTGCTTGAAATGGTGTACATCTTGATATAACGACATGTTGAGGACTTTCTCGACCAAATTTAGAAGCCTATAATCGAGCAAATCTTTAAACCCATAATTGCTCTCAATCTTTATAACGAACCTTGACATCAACTTTGTACAGTATAAACACCTCGTCTAACTCTTCACATGGCTAGCTAACTTGCTACAACATGAATGTTTCATAGTCAAAACTCTTCTAAAGTCCTACCCTAGGGAGGATTTAGGAAGGGTTCCTTGTGTTATAATCCCCCTCTTTCCAAACAACAATAATAATAATGAAATTTTACATAGATTTTGTTTATTTATTTATTTATTTTTTTTGAAAAAATATTCTTGTACTTGTCCTACTTAAATGTTTATTTTAACTCCCCTCGAATTTTACCTCTAGGTCTATGTATTGTAACATTGTTGTGTTCCCTACACGTGTATGTCCTCGCTAAACTAGCCCCATTCTCTCATCTTTTGCAAATGAATAAAGCTAAAAAAACAAGTTAATAAGCAGGGAATGAAATGGTAGATTTTGATTGACAGTATTTTCTTTAATTTTTTTGAAGTACAAATGAGAATATGTCAATTGTATCTGTGTAATATGTTCACGTAGCAGAACTGTTTACAAATAGAAGGCCGTTCACAAAGAAAATGCAATATATTTTGAAAATCTAATCAAATTTTGTGAACACGTTCTTTCACAAACAAAATTCTCATTAGAGTGCTTTTTTCCATCCGCTATATCACACTTTCTTCGATAACCAAATATTTATCAATTAATTAGATCTAATTACATATCAAACAAGATATGAGATGCAACTATTATACAAATATTAAATAACCACACAAATTTTTTATACCAATAAATATCATGTCGAAAATTTTCGTTAAATTAAAAAGAAATACAAGTAAATTCTTTGGATTCTGTGTGTTCTTCTTTCCATGATGTGATGGCAGTAAATTTGACCCATCGCACGCAGCCTGAATTATTGAATATATTGCAAAACAAATAAATGCAACATGAGTTCTATTGGTGCACAATAATGAAATTATCTAACTTAGATATAATTATTGAATTGCATTTATTACTTATTCTGGTAACGTTAATTTATCGGATCTTCTTCATAATATAAGAGGCCCACATTACACGACTGGATCATACACCAGTCAAACTTCCTTTCATTTGCCAACTAAAAAAAACTCTGCTACCCTGGCATTGTGGCCCTGGTAAAGCAGCATAATTGGACAAATAATTTTCAATCGTGTTACAGTCATAAATTAGAACAGTTGTACTATATGTATAATCGATATTATATGTAACAGTTGTACTATGTGTTAATCGGGGTTAATAATTTCGATTGACAATTAGACACATGGGAGGGGGTCCACGCTGAATAAAAAATCGAGGGTCCCCTTTTTTGTGAATATATTGTCAATTGTGGTTGTAAACTCCGACTGTACAAGAAGAATAATTTAAACTCAAAAATAGAAGGACACGTATCAATAGATAAATTGAAAAAAAAAAATAATAATAATAATACGGTCACCCCACACCTCATCAAAAGTAGAGATTCAAGGAGCATTATTCAATAATTTTGAGGAAAAGTAATGTTTTCACTCATTTTTCTCATCTTTTGGTAGAAAAATCAACTTTTTTGGTAAAATATTGCACTTTATTTTGTGTCCCACCCTGCAAAGGATGAAAATTGATAACAAGTCCAACGGTAAGAATGACTAATTAAAATTTTTTCCTTAGAAAAATTCAAAATTGAGTGTGACTTCCACAGAATTTCATCCCTAGTTCCCATGTGTTACATATATTAGATAAATAGTAAATACAGTAGATTACAGAATATTGAAGGTTCATTTAAAAAAGATCATTGTTATTGACAGGAGTAACCAAATTATCACACGTTAGAATCTTAATAAATCAGAAGTTGTGTATATAAAGGAATTAATGTTACATATGGCACATGATTCCATGTCCGTGACACATGCATTGAGAAAAATGACAATCTTTCATAATATTTTTTACACAAATTATTCCATTTTCATACACTTTTATGTGAATGACAGAGTTGCAAACATCTGTCATGAGATGAAATCGGGAATTTTTGTCAGAATTCAAGAGAAAAATTGACTTATTCACAACTTAATTGGAATGGGCAATGCCATATGATTCCAAGAAATTAAAGTATTTATGTGTGATTAGGAATGGGTATGAATTGTAAAGGGTAGATAAAAAATGACAATCTCTTTTTTTATTCTACATGGCTGCTAATGTTGAGTCATGTTCTTACATGATAAAAATGTGAATTTTACTTCTAAAATGTTTAGTAAGATGATGGATTGATTGAAAACACAAATTTAAGAATTGAACCGCATGTTCAAGCTTTCAGATTTATTTGATCATTTAGCTTTTTTAGATTTCAATACCTTAAAGAGTATATTTTAAGATATAAAATGATCGGTTTCTTGACAAAAGTTGCACAAATCCCGTACGAGAAAGCCAAAACTGATTGTCCTCCAACTCGATCTTAAGTTCCTCCTGCCAAAGTCATGGTCATCCCCTAACATAATTTCCCTCGACCTTGGTCATCTTTATCCCAAGGTCATCGTCATGACTCCCCCACGCATTTAACCACCTTGACCTAGGACCTCACCTCGAGGTCTTGTTTATCCACGTGAAATAGGCTGCACTCCATCCT